CACAAAACACTACAGAAATGGATCAAACGTAAACTGCATAAGTGTGAACTTAGCCTTACAGGGTGTTGCAGCAGGAGCGCTGTTTGGGAGACAAAACGTTATCTCCCTATAAAGGAAGAGCCTGAACAAGAACCTTTATGGCAGGGTTAAGGGTATTATTTTAATAAAAGCTATCGATTTAAACTGACTTTTACAATAAAATGTTATGCCTTATATAGAATTAGATTTTAGTAATTGGGTTTATGTATTTAAGGATTCTAGGTATGGATATTTTTACAGAGTTACAGGTCCAGCTTGGATGAATGTAACTATGCCTACACCACACCTGTGCTATCCCTCTAGAAGCTGGAAATCACTATAGTAGACACAGCTACTGTGTATATATATATATATTTTTTTTATTTATTATTTTTTTTGACAGCACACAAGACCACTTACTGTTATCTCACATATATATTCGTATTATTATAGCCAAATTAACCACCCTAACTCCTCCCACAGTGTTTACACTACATAGACAGTAATATACCGAAACGTGCGGACTGTTCCCGATTGGTGTGCTATTACTTTGTGGAACGTTTCGCCGAATGGTCACAAAATATTGGCGTTTTTGTGGTGAAATTGGTCCCATAGGAATGAATGGCGGAATGTTCAAAACTAGAATGGGAGCTGACACAAAGCTAGAGTGTGAGCTGAAAAATCAGGACATGATTTCTAATTTGCCATCACTCCCTCATTTTCAAGCCCACCTATATCTTTTTTCAAAACGTTCAGCTATCCCTGCTGCCACTAAAAATATCCACGGCTAAGCCATAGTCCTGATAGTTTTCACAATATGACCATTTGTTTGAAACTCACGCCGCCCATTGACATTCATTGAAACTCCACTCTAGTCACCTCAAATTTGAAGGGCAATTTCTAAACTGAGACTGTGCCTTCATTTTTAATATTTCAGAGACATACTATACATCAAAATGTAGGTCTGGGTCTTGTGATTCTCCCAATATAAAGCTCTTCGGTGTAGGATTAATCATTTTTAAACTATAACCGTTTGAAAATGGCAACCGCCAGTGAAGTGAGCAAGTTGGAGCAGTTTGTTTTTAACCGCTCTTCTCTGCCCTTGCTGTAGAGTGAGTTGCCATAGGAACCCAGGTGTGTGAGCAGGCAGCAGAGTGACAAGCCACTCCACCCAGTTACTCCGCCCACTCCAGTTGTAGACTACTGGTGGAGGCAAGAACACTTCACACAATTTCCCCAGAAATTGTAGCTTTTCTAGTTTTTAAGTGTTCTTACATGTTAAAAAAACACTCTGATATCTGATCAGATATCAAAGCTTTATTTTAACACATGTGAGAACAGTTAAAAATGACAGGTAAAAATCTACTTAACCACTTGATCTCTGAAAGGTTCTACCCCTTCATGACTGGGCCATTGTTTTTGCTGTTCAGCACCATGCTTCTTTAACTGGCAACACACACACACACACACACATACGGTATATGTGTGTTTGAACTTTGATTTGGGGTGCACACCTGTAGCACTAATCCTCTTAGGAGTCACTGAAGATTTGGGTCCCCCTCAGGGGCGGACTGACCATTTGGAAACTCGGGCAGTGCCCGAGGGCCAGGGGTCAGTAGGGGGCCCCATGAGATGCCCCTGGTACCTTTTTCATAGGCTTTTTTGAGTTTGGGCAAGGACACAGGGGCCCCATGATCCCCTATTGCCCGTGGGCCCCATGAGTTGTCAGTCCGCCCCTGGTCCCCCTATAGTCCCGCAGAACCAAGCAACACACTTTTTTTCACCTAGACTTGCATCCAGGAGTCAGTAACCAGTCCTTGAACTTTGTTTTTTTTTATTTTATTAGAGGATTATAACTTGGATAGGGTAAGGGGGTGTACGGGATGCTCAATGGAACTGTAACTGAGGACAATCTTCTTGAGCTATATGCAAGTCTTTACACAAAAGTCCTCTTCTTGGAGAGATGGCCAGCTTCTCCTGTTGTACCACCCAGACCCCAGATTCTCCTAATCCAGCTGTTCTGGGTGAATCCCTGAGCAGGAGATGCAGTGCCTGTCACTTTAAAAGAAGACAATCCCAGGTAGTTGCTAATCTGGTTTCCCACCAGAGTGCTCCTTCACCTATCTGGCCCAGGGGGTGCAGGTATACTCGCCCAGTCCTTCTCCTGTGTTGCTGGTGGTTCAGTGGCTGCTACCAGGCCTTCTAGCTGGGCCGTTCCTTCCCTGCCTGTCAGAGCTGGGCTCCTGCTACTTAACGAGCAGCTCTTTTCTTTCAGTGCTCAGAAGCTGCTCAGCTGTCAGTTAATTACCAGCCACTCGTTGTCTCCACAGTGACTCACCTGGATACCAGCTTAGCTCATTTCCTCCTTGCCCTTGCGTGGTCTATGATCTCCAGTGTGTTCCTGCCTTGCTCTTGTGTCCAGTTCAGTCTGACTGACTTGTCTTCTGATTCCTTTTCCTGATTTTTGGCTCCTGACTATGCTGACTTCTGGTTTCCTGACTCTGGCTCGTCTGAACCTGCTCTGGAATCCAAACACTGGCATCTGTTTTGACTACGTTCCTGATCTATGTTATATTTGCTATTTCGTTAGAGGTGTGATTTTAACTGCACTTTCTGTCTCTGCCTGGTTCATGGTTCCTGACATTATGCAAGGGCCATGAATTCAGAAGATGCAGGCAATCCACCTAGTTGCAATATTTTTTACAGATTGGACGAGCAGTAGCACCGTTTGGGTTAGTTTGCCATAGCATTACAAACACTCCTAATCTAAACTGCTCATCTGGATCCTACTACCCCGCCAGCTCTGGTACAACCAGTGCTGCAAGCCATTCCTGCTGCTGCTCCTATATCGGTTCTGGCAGCCATTTCTAATACTACCACTGCAAGAGGTATGACTGGTTCTGCTACACTTCCCCAGTAGTTTGGGGGTGATCCATCTCACTGCAGAGGATTTCTCAACCAGGCTGGAATATATTTTGAGATGCTACACCAGGCATTCCCTATGGACAGAAGCAAAGTAGGCTTCATTATTTCTTTGCTTTCTGACAAAGCCTTGGCTTAGGCAAACCCTTTATGGGAGACACAAAAACTCACTGTCCAGAATTACCCTGAGTTTGTGGCCTCCTTTAAAAGGGTATTTGATATTCCCGCTCACTCCACCTGTGCTGCCAAGAGCCTCATGTCCAATAAACTGAGCACGAGAACTGTTGCCGACTACGCTATTGAATTCCGTACTCTGGCAGCAGAGGTTGGTTGAAAAAATTAGGCTGTCATGGCTGCTTTTTCCCATGCCCTCTCTGATAACATTAAAGATGAGATTGCAGCTTGAGATATACCTAAGAATCTTGGGGAGTTGATCTTGTTTGCCATTCTCAATGATACCAGACTCCGAGAGAGTTCTTACTTTATGAAGCGCTTGTGGAAGCCTCCTGTATGTTTAGATGTGAGCTTTGCTTTCCCACCCATGCCTCCCTCACCTCCCATGCCTCCTGGGCCTGAGTCCGCCAGCTGAAGAGAGGGCTTTTAGGAGAAGGGAGAGATTGTGCATTTACTGTGCCCAAGCAGATCACTTATTGACGTCTTGTCCAATGCCCATACCTGAGGTCCTGTAGGGGACAGACTTTAGGTGCCATCTTTGCGTTCCTCAGCTATCCTTAAAGATAAGCTTCTAGTTCTGGTTACCCTTTCTTGGTCTGAGTTTTCCATCGACACCCAGGCACTAATCAATTCTGGGGCTGCAGGCTTGTTTATAGATAGTGCCTTCGTGTTGACGCACTTGATAACACTGCAGTTTTATGCCTCCCCATTTGCCATTGAGGCTATTGATGGGAGACCTCTTCAGTCTGCTCATGGGACCCATGAAACTGCTCCATTGACCATGGCTTTAGGGGCTCTTCACCATGAGATAATCCAATTCCAAGTCATTTCCTCACCTCATTACCCAGTTGTCATTGGTTATCCCTGGTTACAGAAGCACAATCCTTCATTTGATTGGCATAGAACCGAGGTTCTGTCATGGTCGCCATAATGCACTAATATTTGTTTTCAGAAAGTGAGTAGGGTCTTGTGCACGTCTTCAGTCTCTTCATTGCCAGAGGAGTACCAGGAATTCTCTGATGTCTTTGACAAAGGTCAGGCCAGTATTTTGCCACCACATCAGCCTTTTGACTGCACAATTGATCCTCAACCTGGTGCCATTCCTTCTCCTGGCCGGGTGTGCTCTCTGTCTGTCTTGAAGGATAAGGCTATGGGGGAGTATGTTGTGGATTCACTATCTTGGGGGTTCATCTGCAAATCTTTTTCCCCTGCCGGTGCTGTTTTGTTTTGTGAAAAAGAAGAGTGGTGAACTGAGACCCTGTATTGATAATAGAGGTCTCAATCTCAATACTATTAAAAATGTTTAATTAAGATCGACTTGAGAGGGGCATACAATCTCATGAGGATTAAAGAGGGCGACGAATGGAAAACTGCATTTAATAAGTGGACACTATGAATACCCCTTACTGCTCTTTGGTCTCTGCAACGCTCCTGCAGTTTTCCAGGAATTTATTAACGATGTCCTCCGAGATATCTAACTATATATATTAATAAAGTGCATTATATTGCAGCATTTTTTATATATAGTGCATACATTTGTGTTGTGGCCATGGGCTGCTACCTGCTGTGGTCTTCGTGCAACATCAAACACAGGTGCAGCGCAACCACCCACCAATACTATAATACTTCAGAATTCTCTGCCTATAGGCCCCTGATATGTAAATCCAGCCCTGACTATATGTTCTAGTGACTATTGTCATTAGAACTGAAAGTGAAAAAAAATACAAGAGATTTGACCCTAGTTATAACTATCACTAAAAGGTGTGATCATATAAAAATTCTGAAAAAAATATTTATTTTTACCTATTGTTAAATGTTCAAATGAATGTTTTTTTTGACAGGACTACATAGATCAATTTTACAGTGATGTTCCATTGAGAAGAAGAATGTTAAATCCAATGGAGGAAAAAATCAGGGCCATGCAGTCATTTTTTGGCCTTACTGTTACTGGTAAAATAGACAAGGAGACAATGGAGGTTATGCTGAAACCCCGGTGTGGAGTGCCAGATGTGCAAAGGTTTAGCCATTTTCCAGGAAATCCAAAGTGGGAGAAGACCTTACTTACCTACAGGTATGATGGTGGCACAATGGCTCCTATTGAAGGCTGTGCAGTGGAAGAAAAGGCTTCAATTTTGTGGAACCAAAATAAATAATCAAAACATTCCCTATATCGGTGGTCTCTAAACTGCGGCCCAGGATCTAGATGTGGCCCTTTGCTTGCTTTTATCTGGCTCTTCAAGCACTTTTTCTCCCACTGATGCAAGCCACTATTCCTGCCACTGATACCAACAAAGGGGCATAATTACTGTTACTAGCATCAACAATGGGGCACTATTTCTCCCATTGACACCAACAGTGGGACATTATTCCGCCCACTAATGCCAAAGATGCATTGTTTACTCTAACTGACGGCAATACAATTTCTACTCCCAATGGCCATAGTCTGGCCCCCTTAAAGTCTGCAGGACAGTAAACTGGCCCTTTGTTTGGAAAGTTTGGAGACCATGCTCTATATACAGTACATATAACCGCACTATGGGGCTTGTGCCGAACTCAGTGCAAAATCACCAGCTTTAATTTAAAACTGAACTCTGGGCACACATACTGTACTTATTTTTAATGCAAAACTCTGGGGAAAAAAACAATATTTTGACAGTTGCTATGTAAAAATAAAATATCCCCAATTATTGTTGTCTCATATCTACAGTGCCTTGAAAAAGTATTCATACTCCTTGAAATTTTACACATTTTGTCATGTTACAACCAAAAACGTAAATGTATTTTATTGGGATTTTATGTGATAGATCAACACAAAGTGGCACATAATTGTGAAGTGAAAGGAAAATTATAAATGGTTTTTAATTTTTTTTACAAATAAATATCTGAAAAGTGTGGCGTGCATTTGTATTCAGCCCCCTTTACTCTGATACCCCTAACTAAAATCTGGTGGAAGCAATTGCCTTCAGAAGTCACCTAATTAGTAAATAGAGTTCACCTGCGTGTAATTTAATCTTAGTATAAATACAGCTGTTCTGTGAAGCCCTCAGAGGTTTGTTAGAGAACATTATTGAACAAACAGCATCATTAAAAAACACACCAGCAGGTTAGGGATAAAGTTGTGGAGAAGTTTAAAACATGTTTAGGTTATAAAAAAAAATCCCAAGCTTTGAACATCTCACGGAGCACTGTTCAATCCATTATCTGAAAATGGAAAGAATATGGCACAACTGCAAACCTTCCAAGACATGGCGGTCCATCTAAACTGACAGGTTGGGCAAGTAGAGCATTAATCAAAGAAGCAGTCAAGAGGCCCAAGGTAACTCTAGAGGAGCTGCAGAGATCCACAGTTCAGGTGAAAGAATCTGTCTACAAGACAGCTATTAGTCGTGCACTCCACAAATCTGGCCTTTATGAAATAATAACAAGAAGAAAGCCATTGTTGAAAAAAAGCCGTAAGAAGTCCTGTTTATAGTTTGCGAGAAGCACTGTGAGGGACACAGCAAACATGTGGAAGAAGGTGCTCTGGTCAGATGAGACCAAAATGTAACTTTTTGACCTAAAAGCAAACACTATGGGATTTATTTACTAAAGCTGGAAAGTGCAAAATCTGATGCACTTCTGCATACAAACCAATCAGCTTCCAGGTTTTATTGCCAAAGCTTAATTGAACAAGCTGAAGTTAGAAGCTGATTGGCTACCATGCACAGCTGCACCAGATTCTGAGTGAACCAGTTTTAGTGAATCTACCCCAATGTGTGGCAGAAAATTAACACTGCACATCACCCTGAACACACCATCCCCACCGTGAAATATGGTGGTGGCAGCATCATGTTGTGGGAATGCTTTTCTTCAGAAGGGACATGGATTGGGGGAAGCTGGTCACAGTTGATGGGAAGATGGATGGAGCCAAATACAGGGCAATCTTAGAAGAAAACCTGTTAGAGTCTGCAAAAGACTTGAGACTGGGGCGGAGGTTCACCTTCCAGCAAGACAATGACCCTAAACATACAGCCAGAGCTACAATGGAATGGTTTAGATCAAAGCATATTCATGTGTTAGAATGGCCTAGTCAAAGTCCAGAGCTAAATTCAATTGAGAATCTATGGCAAGACTTGAACAGATGCTCTCCATCCAATCTGACAGAACTTGAGCTATTTTGCAAAGAGTAATGGGCAAAAATGTCACTCTCTAGATGTGCAAAGCTGGTAGAGACATACCCAAAAAAACTTGTGACTGTAATTGCAGCGAAAGGTGGTTCTACAAAGTATTGACTCCAGGGGACTGAATACAAATGCACGCCACACTTTTCACATATTTATTTGTAAAAAGTTTTGAAAACCATTTATCATTTTCCTTCCACTTCACAATTATGTGCCACTTTGTGTTGGTCTATTACAAAAAGATCCCAATAAAATACATTTACATTTTTGGTTGTAACATGTCAAAATGTGTAAAATTTTAAGGGCTATGAATACTTTTTCAAGGTGCTGTAAATGATCACATACTAGCACATTATGCAAAACTTACTGTACCTTAAAATGAAGCCCTCCCTCTGCATGCTGTCACTGCTGCAGAGGCTTCCATCTTCACCCGGTCTTCCTTCCGAGTTCGGGAGCTCCGGTCATCTTACAGGTCGGGCCGCGATGATGTCACAGCACAGAGCTCTGAAGGAACAGCACGGAAATGCCATTCTTTCAGAGCGCATGTGCCGGCTTTAGAAAAGAGAAAATATCTCCTAAACAGTGCACGTTTAAGAGATATTAATTTTACCTACAGGTAAGCTTTATTATAAATTTTAAAAAAATTAGTTTCCTACCTCTTTAAGGTTGTTCTTCAACTTTTTCAAGTACAATCATTTTCATGTCTTTCATCTATTGTTTATTTATTTTTAGAATTGTCAATTACACACCAGATATCACCAAAATGGAGGTGGATTATGCTGTGGCTCGTGCTCTGAGGTTATGGAGTGAGGTCACACCACTGCAATTTCTGCAGGTCTACAGTGGTGAAGCTGACATCATGATTTCATTTGGATCTAAATGTAAGAGAAGGGGAGGACAAAGTTAACTGGGCAAATAACCTTTTTTTGTTAATAACCATTCCCAATGAATGGATGATTTAGTTTTACCTATACACAGTAAGCATTGTAATGCTATGATGCTGTTTCAGTGATGTTCCAGGCCCATAGACACAATCAATTCACTTCATATTGCATGAAACCACGTCATAACTATGTTACGGGAAAATAAAGCTGAAAAACCATCATGTTTGCTATCTCTGCATTCATTTTGTGAATGAAGTCCTCTTTACAATGGAATAAGCAAATGATTTTTTACAGCCCAGTTCCACCTAAACATCTTTAGTTGGCCTTTGATTTGGTCCACCTTGATGGCCACAATGTAAAGTTGTTCTTATGTGTGGCCCCATGCTTTTCACTACTGCATTCCTTGGAGCTCTAAAGTGTACATCAAGCTAAACATTTTTTCTAGTTCAGAATAGAGTGGTAAAGGTTTAAAACTCATGTTGGGTTTTTACTGATATCCAGGACTGCACTAGAGAAGGGTGTGCATGTGTGTGTTCCACTTTTACCATGCATCCAGGAATTCATCTTTAAGAGATAAGAAACATAATCTTCTTCACTGGGTAAGAGAACAATATCTTTATATTTTAAAAACATACGTACTGACTGACATCTTCCTGCAGCCCACGGGGATTTCTTTCCATTTGATGGACCATTGGGCGTTTTGGCCCACGCTTTTGCACCTGGTGAAGATATCGGTGGAGACGCTCATTTTGATGAAGATGAGAATTGGACACTGAGTGGTAAAGGTGAGGGTAATCTTGTTTTTTTCCTAGCTGTAGTCCCAGGATGTTGCACGGTGAGTTAAAACAAGCAAGATAGCAAGCAAGACATGCTTTTCAGGACAGTTTTTTCTTTTGTCTACTACTGAGGGGTTCTCTCTAGTAGAATGAGTAAGTATATTATTGTCAGTTATGAATTTTTTATTTCACCCTGCCTCACCACTGAGAAGTTTATGCCAGAGATGTGGGCTGGAGAAGGCGATAAATAGTTGGAGAGACCTTCTTGAAGGGTCTTTGCTTCTCAGGATTTGTCTAGTGAAGATGTGTGTGTAGCAGGGCACAGCTTTACCTCCCAAACTTGCTGTGTGGGGAGGAAGTTGCTAAAAGAAGGGACTTAGTCTGGGGCCTGAGCTTGGGCCTAAAGAATTTGAGCTGACATGTGCTAATCATGAAGGTGGATGTAATTTAGGAGCATGTTCGGATGAGTCTGCTATGCTTATGAGTGTCCTGGAGAGCTTGGGAGCATTGAAATGTGAATGCTCAACTCTATAAGATGTATGTTACTCCTCATCATATGTGGCCTGAAGACCATTTATGATTATGAGGTGATTTGAACCTTAGATTCAAGACCCTAAACCAGGCATCTCCAAACTAAGGGCAGATCCATCCCTTTGCAAGGTTTTATCTGGCCCTTTGATGATTGGAACCCTGATGTAAGAGGGGACTCTGATGTAAGGGGAAATCTGATGTGATCTCTGATGTAAGGGATCTTGATGGAGATTCAGATGTATGGGGGTACTTCGATGGGCTCAAACCTATTTGGCATTTCTTTGCATTGATTTACTGAAGTTTTTCCTTTTGTTCTAAATAATATCATGCTGATTACATAAAAAATATAAAATGTATTCATTCATTTCAATTTAATTCATTCATTTCTAAAACTGATTTTTTTTTTTTGTGCAAATATTTGCAAAATATTTATGATGTATTTTATGATGAATATTGTGTGTCTTCTTGATAATATACTCTAAATACATATAGATCTACATCCAATTACCCTTAGATCCCCTAAAGTAAAAAACAATATTGTATATGCACTTGAAGCTCACTAATGGACCAGAAAACCACTTCTTTGGACACACGGACAGTATAATGCAGTACTCTTTTCTTAGCTATGGAAGGGAAGGAATTAAACCCCACAGAATAGGTTTGCCACGTCATCCCTTGAAAACTTAACACATATTAATTACACAGGTTCTGAGGCTAATTTAATACAAATAAGGCATTAAATAAGTTTAATTACCACCTTAATCAGCCAGGGAACCTGTGTAACTAATATGTGTTCGGTTTTTAAAGGAATGAGATGGTAACCCTACTAGAGAGTAGCGGGCAATGCCCGGGCAATGCCCATAGGAGAGCACAGCCAAATCAGGGTAAGAAAAGCACTGCAGCAAGGAGGTAAGAATACACAGGCAAGAAACTGCAGGTTAACTTATGACGAGTAGTTTGTGTGTGTGTTTTTTTTATTTAGAGATTGTCTTACTTAACATTCTGCAAAAATGTTGTGTATTAGTGCTACCTGGACCTTAAGAAAGTGGATACACCCCAAAAGCTTGTCCTGAACTTTGAAAGTTTGTGCAAATACAAAAAACTTCAAGGATAGTACTCAATTACTTGAGTATTCCAAATCCCCCAGAAGATGTCACTGTTACATTTTCATGGTAAACCAGAAAGTAATTCTCACATGGCAATGCACACAGAGTCAGTTGGTTAAAGCGCAGTTCCAGCCGTTTTTGTGTTTATTAATAGTCAGCAGCTATAAAAACTGTAGCTGCTGCCTTTTAATAAAAACACACTTACCTGTCCCAGAGTCCAGCGATGTTCTCACCCATCCCTCTCCTTCTTCTCTCCCTGGCATCTCAAATGTGGGCACCAGGCTGTGACAGCTTGCGGCTTCACAGACAGCTGCCCACTGCGCATGCACGAGTTGCGCTGTGCCTCCTAATTGATTCGGCAGTCTTCTGGGACCTGTGAAAGTTTCCAGGGGACTACGGGAGGGAGGAGTGGGCCGAACATCCGGCTTGCTTCGCCGCGGCAATCTGAGCCGGAAGTGGGAGTGGGTACCTGTCAAAACCAGGCATCCGATATCCCCCAAAAGATGCCAAATGTGACAGTGAAGGGGGTGAAGAGACAAACAAGCGGAGATTCCACTTTTGGGAGGAACTCCGCTTTAAATGGTTAATCGATTGTACTGTCAATCACCTGCTAAAAACTGAAGCATTTAATCAGTTTTGGGAGTACTGCATGGTTTCCTATGCAACATGTTCACATCTATGCTTTTTTTGAGCTGCTGCATTTTCGGAAAGGGTCAGGGACTTTTTTTAAAAGCAAAAAACAGCATTTTTGCTACAGAAGAGTTCAATGGAGAAGCTGCTGAAATGCACGGTAGTGCTCTTTTGCCACATTTTTACCGTGTTTTACATTTTGCATTTTTATTCTGCCCAGCAACAAAACAAATTCCACTTTAATTAAAAAAAAAAAAGAGCTGAGCAAAACGTGGTAAAAACACGTCAAAAACACATGTCAAAAAAAAACGCAAAACAAACTTTAAAAAGCACTGGCGAAAGCATCAAATGCAAAATGCATATATGTGAACCAAGCCCTAAAGTGCTTGTAAACCTTACATATACCCAGTTTATCTGCAGTCTTCTCTTCTCTGCATTCACTCAAAGTCCAGAATTTATAGAGTCTGTCTGAGAGTTCAGAAAAAAAGGGAGCGGAGAGAGCTGAAATTACACACCTCGGAGCTCAGTGAGGAGAGCTGATTGGAGGGAAGAGACACACCCCCTCCACACAGCTCCCAGGAACAGAGCTGAGGCTGTCAATCTGCTGGAAATCCCTCCCCTGTCACCATTTTTCTCTTGGTGACAGTAAAAATTGCCAGAAGTGACTCAAACAGATAGTAGAGGAACAAACATAAATGACAGTGCTCTTAATTGAGAAAAGCACACCTATAGAGGGAAATGCTTTGTTCATATTTCATGTCTGAGGTTTACAACAACTTTAACCACTTCCTGTCCGGCCCATGTATATAAACGGCCGGATGGGAGCAGTGCAGGAGCGGGTTGCCGTTCATAAACGGCGCCTGCCATTTTAGCCTGTATGCACTCCATGTACAGCCTGTGCGTGCTCCCTGGGAGCGTGCAGCACCGTGATCGCTGTATGGGACCTCTGTGTGAGGTCCCGATCATGTGATCACCGACTGGCCAATCAGTGATTACATGAATAGTATTAAGCAAGATGTCACTTCTGACATCATTGCTTACTACTAGTGAAATCTGTGAATGATCACAGAGGTCACATGGTACAAGGATATTCACAACAGCCTTGTACCATGTGACAAACTGTGACCAATCACAGCTCTCACAGTATTTCTCAATGGCTGCAAGAATGCAGCCAGAGAGAAAAAGAAATTATTGCTTTTACAGCCTTTATGGGTGTAAAAGTACTCAGTGTAAAAAAAAAAATCTTCATCACCCCCCACAAGTAGGGTGAGAGAATGTTTTAAAAAAAAAAAAGACATAAATAATAATATAAATAAATAAATAAAAATGTAAACTTTTTTTTGAAAAATTATAACTATTGCTTATAAACTAATTTGGGTTATTTTTTTTTTTACTAAAAAGCTAGATGAATACATTTTGGCCAAGATTTATGAATAAAGATTATTTATTTGCAAAATGTTATAAGAAAAAACACTTTTTTAAAAAATTTTTTGAACGTTTCATTTATATAGCAAAAAAAAATAAAAAATCCCAGTGGTGAATAAATACCACCAAAATAAAGTTTTATCTGTCTGAAGAAAATGCTAAAAAAACTCATATGGGAACAGTGTTGCATGACCACGAAATTGTCATTCAAAGTATGACAGCGCTGAAAGCTGAAAATTGGCCTGGACAGGAAGGGGGTAAAAGTGTCTGGGCTTGAAGTGGTTAAACCTTAAGTAACCTTCTTGAGCAGAACTTGGCTCCCCTGCTTTGGTAATGAAAACACAGTTGATTGGAGCAGTATTAAAATGGGAGAAGGCATTTTGAACCGCTGAAGCTAGGCAGCTGTTTTATGTGAGAGGACTGAGGTCCAATTCTCCTATGTGTTGCTCTAGAGGGTATTTTAACCACTTGCACTCCGGACGATTTCCCCTTCATGACCAGGACTTTTTTTTGTGACGCGGCGCTGTGTTACCTTAACTGACAATTGCACGGTCATGCAACGTTACAAAAAATGAAATGTATGTCATTTATTCCTACAAATAATGCTGTCTTTTAGTAGTATTTGATCACCTCTGTGTTTTAAATTTTTTTGCATAAGAAAAAAAGACTGACAATTTTGAAAAAAAAAAATATATTTAACTTTTTGCTATAAAACATATCCAATAAAAAAAATTAAAAAATACAATTTCTTCATAGATTTAGGCCAAAATGTATTCTGCTACATGTCTTTGGTAAAAAAAAAATCCCAATAAGTGTATATTTATTGGTTTGTGTGAATGTTATAGCATCTACAAATTGCGGTGTATATATACTGGAATATTTATTTATTTTTTATACTAGTAATGGCGGCGATCAGCGACTTATAGCGGGACTGCGGCGGGCATTCTGATACTAACAGACACTGGGTGGAAAATGACTAACTGCCACTGACATCCCCAGTGACACTAATACAGTGATCAGTGCTAATAAAAAGCACTGACACTGTACTAATAACACTGGAAAGGAAGGGGTTAACATTTGTGGTGATCAAAGGGTTAACTGTGTGCTGTTTTTACTGTGTTTTACTAGGGGGCTGGGTTTTTACTAGGGATATGCTGCTTTCTATCTCTTTGCTTTGCAGAGAGATAAAAAAAGCAGCATGTCCCTGCTGACAGGACAGAGATCTGTGTTGTATACACAAAGATCTCTACCCTCTCAGTTTAGCCGACGATCACCGAGTCCCCACCATGAATTACAGGCCGGGGATCTAGTATCCTTCCTGGAAATGCAAAATCACATACAGTATATACTTGATTTTGCAGCGCAGCCACCCTGTAGCAGTACATCTTCTATGGGGCAGTTTTTAAGTGGTTAGACCTTTGCTTTGTTTATTGCTGTATATGCAATATACAGGGAGGGTTCTCTTGTGCTTTTATGAAGTCCAGGAAAGCCAGACAACTACATTTGTTACATGAAAACCTTAGATGTTTCTACCTATGTTTGATAAGTAACTTTTTTTCTTTTTCTTTAATTTCAGGCACCAATATCTTCCTTGTTGCTCTTCATGAGCTGGGACATGCTCTAGGACTGGAGCATTCAAAAGACGAGCGTGCCATAATGTATCCAACCTTGCTTGATAATTCAGTTGTGGATACAAGCAAGTTTAAACTCTTTTCGGATGATATTGCTGGAATCCAAGCTCTTTATGGTATGTTATTTTATAGTAAACTTTAGTTTTGTAAATAGCAAGAGTGGAATGAAATCTGACACGTGACACAGATTGTGTATCATCATAAGCCTACTATGAAGTAAATGCTGATTTGTAACGCAAGATCACACACCATTAATTCAGGCTAAGTTCACGCTGCTGGAATACGATTTTGATCTGACTTTCAGAGCTAGTTCTGACTTTCAGTCTAGATCAGGGGTGGGCAAACTTTTTGACTTGAGGGCCGCAATGGGTTCATATATTGGACCCGGGGGCCGGACCAAGAGTAGATGAATGATGTGTATGTGTCATCCATAGTAAGTATAGTAATATTCCCCCATAGTAAGCATAGTAATTAATCCCCCATATAGTAATTCATCCCCCATAGTAATTCGTCCCCCATATAGTAATTCGTCCCCCATATAGTAATTCGTCCCCCATATAGCAATTCATCCCCCATATAGCAATTCATCCCCCATATAGTAATTCATCCCCCATATAGCAATTCATCCCCCATATAGTAATTCATCCCCCATATAGTAATTCATCCCCCACATAGTAATTCATCCTTCATATTAATTCATCCCCCATATAGTAATTCATCCCCCATATAGTAAGTCCCCCATATAGTAAGAATTCATTCCCCATATAGTAAGTCCCCCATATAGTAAGTCCCCCATATAGTAATTCATTCCCCATATAGTAAGTCCCCCATATAGTAATTCATTCCCCATATAGTAAGTCCTCCATATAGTAATTCATTCCCCATATAGTAAGTCCCCCCTATAGTAATTCATCCCCCATATAGTAATTCATCCCCCATATAGTAAGTCCCCCATATAGTAATTCATTCCCCATATAGTAAGTCCCCCATATAGTAATTCATTCCCCATATAGTAAGTCCTCCATATAGTAATTCATTCCCCATATAGTAAGTCCTCCATATAGTAATTCATTCCCCATATAGTAAGTCCCCCATATAGTAAGTCCCCCATATAGTAATTCATTCCCCATATAGTAAGTCCCCCATATAGTAAGTCCTCCATATAGTAATTCATTCCCCATATAGTAAGTCCCCCATATAGTAAGTCCCCCATATAGTAAGTCCCCCATATAGTAATTCATTCCCCATATAGTAAGTCCTCCATATAGTAATTCATTCCCCATATAGTAAGTCCCCCATATAGTAAGTCCCCCATATAGTAAGTCCCCCATATAGTAATTCATTCCCCATATAGTAAGTCCCCCATATAGTAAGTCCCCCATATAGTAATTCATCCCCCATATAGTAAGTCCCCCATATAGTAAGTCCCCCCTGTGTCAATTCACTTACCTTTGCTCCACGCGTTCCTCTCGTATTCCCGCGCCGTTCTGGTCTTCAGGGAGGACTGTGAGAGAAGAGTTCGTCACGCTGCCCCGCCTACATCCAGGCTGCCCCGCCTACATCGTGACAGCTGCAGAGTCCTGACGCCCGAGAGGAGGGAGGGGGCGGCCATCCGAGAGGAGGGGAGGGGAGAGGAGGAGAAGAGGCCGCCCGCCCGCCCGAGAGGAGGGAGGGGAGCGGGCGCCCGGCACGCATCTAAGTTTGTAAAGAGCCGCGGCTTGCCGACCACTGGCCTTGCGGGAGCATAGCTCCGCGGGCCGGATTAAAAGGTCCGCCGGGCCGTATACGGCCCGCGGGCCGTAGTTTGCCCATTGCTGGTCTAGATGCAAGTTTGATGCAACTTTGACAGGTGTAACACATTGAAATGGTGTTAGATACAGTAGTTTAAAATGGACATTAGATAGCGGTGGCCTGCCATTCAGGGTCATTCACATTTTGCAGAACAGCCTTCTGGAAGTTGTACGCTGGAGAGCAGGACTTGAATGGTGAGCAGGGCGTCCAGGGACTGCATTTCCCAGGTGAGGTAGTGTGAGGGAGGGGGCATCTAAATATCAAAGCCCGGGAGTCTGGCCAGGAAAGTGAATGGCTGGGAGAGGAGGAAGTGTGCTGACGGCTGAAGTGCTAAACTAGGTTATGGAGCCAGAGTTGGAGAAGGAGCTGAAAGAGCTTACTGATCGCCCCTTCTGCCACGCTGCCCAGCGAGCCAATTTGTTAGCAGGAGACCAGACGGGATGCCGAATCAGGAACCGGAGAGTCTGTGTGGGGTCCCTGTGTGCCTTTTATCTAGTTCCTTAAAGGGGACCCTGCAATTATTCACTACCAGCAAGAGAAAAAGTGTTAAATCCTTCCTTTTTCCTCATTGTTTTTTGATGTTACTGTTTTGAGGAACTATCATCTACACCTTAATTCAGTTTCAAACCAACTGGGTCCCTACAAGCGCACAGAAGACCCTATGGTAGTCTTAAAGGGACATTGATCAATTATAAATGAGAGCTCTCTCAACTTCCCATTTAAGCCCTGTCGCCTAGTTCTGAGGACCCAAAGTGAGCTGTTCCTGTTCCCTCAGACTGAAGGCATTGGATTATTTCTGAAAGCAGGCCTGCAAACAGTTACGGGTATTTCACTGCGAATGCTGTTACTTTTGCCTAAAATTGACAAGAGTGAATATCTTTGCTGCATATACCCATGTCATTTTGTTATTTTTGACCAAGTTTCATTGAATGCCAATATGAACTTCATATTGGTTTATACTACTTTGTGTGTGAGTCCATTTTACAGTTTTGGTTTATTGTGGTCACCAGAGTACAGTGGTGTCAGCAGAGGTTGGGTTTTCAAAAGAGGTCCAGATTGACAGGGAACCCAAAAATTACTAAGCAACCCTTAAAGGGGTAGTGCTACATAAGGTTTAAATATTCTATGGGGCCAAATCGCAATAGAATCTCACCAAAGTAGTACAAGAACCTTTTCCAAAATCACTTTGTGCTGATTCACACTGATGTGAACAAATACCTTTGAAAACAATGTGATTTCCTTTGGAATACTATTCTGGGTGACTCAAGTTGAATCTGAAATTGCACTAGTGAGAACCAGGCCTATACTATTGGTACTTTAAAGAAGTACTATATCTTCTTTCAACTACTTTTGGTTTGTTAAATATACTGAAATATATTGAAAGCATCTTATTATATCTGTTTGATAACTGTAAAAAGTTCCTTAGGCTCACCTTGCTCTGGAAGCATGGGACTGATCTAGTGAGCTTCAGGATGGCAGAACAGGAGGCGATTGGGAACTTATGCTCCTGATGTCCTCAATGTAGAGTGACCCAGAAGTGTTTAGCTCTGAGTGTCTGGGTAAGCAGCAGATCAGAGATGCAGTCTGCCGCCAATCTACACTGGCTGGAGGCAGAAGAGATGTCAGTGTCCTAATTGACCCCTGAGGACTTCGTAAAGGGGACCTGTCACTCTCTGAATACTATCACATAGGTGACCTTTTAGCCATGACATAGTGATAAAGATATAAAAAAAAGTATAACAATTAAAATAAAAATAAAAGTCCCATCTCTGTACTAAATGCACTTGACAAACTTGGGACACAAATGTGTATAAAGAAATGCTTGCAATGTTTGTTAAGTCTACAGAGTTGCTGAAGTTTTGGATCCCCCTATAATCCTACACAGCCAGGCAACACACAATTTCACATCCACTTACATTCAGGAGTCAGTGACCAGTCCTTGAGCTTGTTTTTATAATTTATTAGGGGATTTTAGAACTTGGATAGGGTAAGGGGTGTACAGGATGCCCAAAAGAACTGAGGAGCTGGAGACAACTTCCTGAACTCTGTACAAGTGGTTACAGTAACAGTCTCTTTTGAAGAGCTAGCCAGCATCTCCTGTTGTACCACCCCAGAAACAGATGCTCCTCTATATGGCTGCTTGGAGGAATCCCTGAGCAGGGGATCCAGTACCTGTCACTTTAGGAAATAAGAGAGTCCCAGGTGGTGGCTAATCTGGTGTCCAACCAGAGTGCTCCTTCCCCACTCTGGCCTAAGGGGTGTAGGTCTACTCCTGTGTTGCTGGTGAGTTGGTGGCTGCTACCAGGCCTTTTAGCTGGGCTGCTCCTTCCCTGCCTCACAGGTGGCCCTCTCTCAGGGGGGCAGTGAAGTCCTGGGCTTTTTCCTTCCAAGGTCCTCTGTCTGTAGGTCAGCCCCTTTCCATCTGGGCCCCCTCACAGGCTCCTGCCTCCAGCCTTACATCCTCTCTGTCTTCCACCCAAACTCGCCTATTCCTCCTCCAACTCTCCTGCAGCTGAGCAGGCTCAGTTACTCTTAAAGGTTGCCCTGTCCCCTTGCCAAGCCTCCTTTTGGGAATTGGCACGGGTCCTTTAAGAATACAGACCAGCTACTTCTCAAATTCACCCACTGCTTCTAGACCTTTCTCCAAAGTTCTAGAACAAGGGGAAAGTCCTGAGGGCTGGTCTGCAGAGCCTCTCAGCTCTGACCCAAATTTAACCCTACTAGCTATCACACCCAGGTTGCTACTCAGCTCTCCTCGCTGATAATTGAACTAGAGCTCCCCATAGCTAACTAGGAGGGTGACTCATTTATTTAACCCGTTCAAGGCGGCCTGACCATTTTTTTATGTTGTCTTTGGGATAGACAAGGGAAAAAAACTGAGTACAAATATTTGGAGTAGTATTAAAGAGTAATTCCACTTTTGCTGAGAAAAAAAACATTCCCCCCTGTGTGATCCAGGTGTATTGCTGGGATTTTAACAAACTTTGTAGTAGATTCCTACCTTTTGTTATTCTGAAGAAATAGCTGTTTGCCTGTGTCTATGTTCAGAGTGAATGTAAATGGGAGTGATTAGATAATTATCGGTCAGCAGCTGCACCTGAAGGGCACTAGTGAAGTGTCAGGGTCTGCATACCTTTAAACGTGATTTCCCTTTGGGGGTATCTCACCAAAATTGAAATATTTTGTTGCAGGGGATGGCAAAAATCTGATTTGTATCTTAATGCAGACTTCCGGGGAAAATCAGTAAGCCAATCACACAAGCAGGAAATTACATTTCTGGGGGGCGTTCTGTGCACCATATGTGTACTGGACACCTCCAGTTTGCCATATTGTATTGCATTTTACACTAAATTACAGTGCTTCAGATTGAAAAAGAAATAACATTCAGTATTACGCAGTAACATTCAGTTACAATATAACTTGTGTAGCAATTGCATATGCTATTAGTTTTTTTATTTGTTATTTTTGCCCTCGAAAGTGCAGTTACCCTTTAAAGTATAATTTTACCCATAACAACTTGATAAAAATAATGTAATTTAACAAGGAACATACATTTCACATTATTAATTATGCTACTAAAATTAGTGTGCTGTAAATTGCCTCGAGCATTGTTGCCATTTTTCTGAAGCCCAGTGCCCCTGAGCAGCAGTAAATCTTTAGGCTGTCAGCAGATCAGCCTCTACATTTTCAGCACAGTGCTGAAAAATAGAGACCAACTAAGCATGTCCAGAGCAGAGTGAGAAAGTGTATTTCTGAATTTTAAGCAGAAAATCAGTGAGCCAATCACTCAAGAAGGAAATTACGTTTTCAGGGGGCATTCTGTACACAATCTGTGTACAGAACACCTCCAGGTTACCTTATTGCATTGCATTTTACAGAAAATTACAGTGCTGTAGGTTGAAAAGGAAAGGTCTTTTATAATAACATTCAATCACAACAGGACGTAAGTCAAAATTTTATATGCTATATTATTATATTTTTTTTTCCAACTTTTTTCCCACAAAAGCGGAGTTGCCCTTTAATTATACAAATGTATGTTACACTAAAATTTCAGTTTTGTTTCACTTTTTTGTCCATTTCTCTGCGTAATTCAAAAAATATATGCAGTTTTTTGTAAAACAAAATAACAAATAAATGCCCCAAATGTGCTTGAAAAGGTGTGAAAATAATTATACTGGACATAGAAGTATAAAGCAGGGGTGCATCAGAGGATTCTCTGTTCCTCTAGTGCGAAAGTCCAGGCCTGTGCACATGCCATGCGACAAGTGCAGCTGGAAAAAAAAAAAAATATATATAATGCGATTATGCAGGCAATCAATGAGATATACCAATTTTATTGCTGACTGTCCCGTACATCAGTAAACAGGGTGGCCTGGTGAAACGCATAGTATGAATACTATACAGCAGGGGCGGACTGACCATTTGGAAACTCGGGCACTGCCCAAAGGCCCAGGGTCAGTAGGGGGCCGCATGAGATGCCCCTGGTACCTTTTCCATAGGCATTTTTGAGTTTGGGCAAGGACACAGGGGTCCCATGATCCCCTATTGCCCGGGGGCCCCATGAGTTGTCAGTCCGCCCCTGCTATACAGTATGTTCCACATAGTCTGCCTAAAAGCTGCCTAAAGCATACAACAATAATAAGAACTAATACACTGGAACCCTGCCTCTAAATTTAGTATATTTTCCTTTAAGAAGGGTGCACAAAAATGACAATCAGTGATAGTAGCTCCCAGTGTTCACATACAGGTCCAGATTATCCTTATCTTAGTGATATGATATATAGCAGGGGTCTGCAAACTTTCTAAACAAAAGTCATTCAGACTTTAGGGGGGCTGGACTGTGGAACGAGGGAGTAGAAAATTAAACTGTAGTCAATTGGATTAAACAATGCCCGATCATTGGTATTAGGGGAAGTAGTAGTTGGTATAAATGGGAGGGATAGTGCCTCATCACTTGTGACAATGGGGGGAATAGTGCCCTGTGGTTGGTATCAATATTGCTGACAGTGGGGGGATAATGCCCCAAGAGCTGGATAAAAGCAAGCAAAGGACTGCATCTAGCCCCTGGGCCGCAGTTTGGAGACCACTGGTATACAGTATTATACTGTATATTATTATTATATGGGATTTATATAGCGCCAACAGTTTGCTCAGCGCTTTACAATATAAAGGGAGACAATACAGCAATGATACAGTTCAGTACAAGAGGGATGGGAGGGCCCTTGTCTTTGGAGTTTACAATCTAAGAGGGAGGGGCTGGTGGTACAAAAGGTAATAACTGTGGGGGATGAACTGATAGGAGAAATAGAACATTCGATTATTAGCTGAAGGCAGAATAGGCTTCCCTGAAGAGATAGGTTTTCAGAGATCACCTAAAAGTAAACAGAGTAGACGAAAGTCAGATAGATTGGGGTAGAGATTTCCAGAGGAGATGAGCATGGGAGGAGGAGACAAGGGAGCTAGAGAGCAGAAGGTGGTGGGAGTCTATGTAATTATGTATTTAGTGAGTAAACAATTACATAGACTTCCACTGACCCTCAGAAACAACCAAGGCATGCAGGCTGTTGTGTGTATATATATATATATATATATATATATATATATATATATATATATATATATATGGAATATAGTAGAAGATATAAGCTTAACAAAAAAGAAAATTATTTAAAGCAGAACTACACTTCACCTGAGCACCACAAACCAAAAATGCTTTTAATGTCATTTTTAATATTCAAAGTAAACTCTCATATCCATCGATGTCTCCATGCTTTATTTGGCTGAGAAATCAATTTGAAAGACACCCCCTAGCATTTCTGGCTGTGTCCACCTTGAATAAGGGCAGATGATTCCTGTAGCATTTACTTACTGAAATCCATCTGCCCTTAGCTCAGGCATACAAGCAAGTGGGTGTGCTTAGCTGAGAAAGCCCCTCCTCCCTTCTTGAAGACTCCTGGGATGTATGACATCATTTTCCTAAGCCAGAAACCAGGAAGTAACTAAGGAAAATTTTTAAAAAAGTTTAAAACACATAAATATGATAGACTTTTCTATTTACTAATGCTAGCAGCATAAGAATTAAAAATGGTCACTGTTGATTGAGTGAGTGACGTTCTACTTTAGTTACTAAAGACTTGTGTTAAATGAAGCATCAAAAAAATCGCTATATCTGATATAGTAAATTTAGTGTTTTTAATTACAGACTTTAGTGGTTTCATTTATAAACTTTACCCTATGCTTCAAAAACAGGAGGAAAAAATACAAATCCCAATCCAACAAGATCGTCACAGCCTAAACCGACAAAGATTCCTAAACCCATTCCCACAAGGAAAGAGCCAAAGCCAACAAAGTTACCCCAGCCTATTCCAACCAGAAAACCCAAGCCCATGCCTACAAGAATCCCACAGCCTATTCCTACGAAGAAACCTCGACCAACAGCCACCAAGAAGCCTAAGCCAACAAGAATCCCACAGCCTATTCCTACGAAGAAACCTCGACCAACAGCCACCAAGAAACCAAAGCCAACCGATGCTCCAAAAAATCCAGCAGTGCCAGAAAGGTGTAACCCAAGTTTAGGGTTTGATGCCGTCACCAGGATGAGGGGAGATTTACTATTCTTTAAGGACGAGTAAGTCTAAGAGATTTTAATTTTACAAGAGATTTCCTTTTTCTACAAGCAACCACGATAGGAGGTCCAGTGATTTTAAAAGTTGTTTTTAACAAGCTGCTAAAGTTGTAGTTAGTTCTGGGTTGTCCCTGAGTTTTCAGTAATTTGATGTTTTATTTGTTTACTCATAATATATTTAACCGTATTTCATGTAACGAAACAATTATCACAGAAGCTCCGCTTATACAGTCCAAATATCTGACTTCATTGCAAGCAAACTGAAGCTTAATCTGCACCTAAAGAGAAAGTGAAATTTAGCATATTAATACTTTTCATCACTGCTTTGAGTCAGCAGGTAGAGCTTTAGGTTCTAGTTAACATTGTAAAGATTTTCAGTTTGCTTCTTTGATTTAAAAAATCTGATATTTACACAGGGCAGAGACTCATCTAATTAACTCTTTTCATTTTAGCCTTTTCCTATTACTTTCTATTACTTTTTCTATACCTTTTTCCACATAACCTAAGGTTTTGCCATGGTCTGCCTAATTTAACCCTGTTTAATCAAAATGGTCACCCTATTGGCTAACAAGTGGATGGGAGGAACATAGGGGAAGCCAGTTGATATGAATGCCAGACACAGGGATATGATTTTATTTTTGACACTTTTTTTGGTGAATGAGAAGGGATACAATGTACTCCATACTCATTCACATGGGGGAGAGGTGGGGAGGTGGGATCTGGGAATATCCTTCAAGATTTCGATAAGCCCCTGCCTGCAGACCCCCACAATCACCACCCAGGGTTGTGGGGAAGAGGCCCTTGTCACCATGAACGTAGGGACAAATTGCTTTGGAGGGGGAAGCCCCCTGCCCCAAGAACTCACCCCCCATGTTGAGGGCATGTGGCCTGGTATGGTTTGGGGGGGAGGGGGCACTCATTTCCCACATGTCAGGATGAATGCTCGATAATGGTCTGGTGTGGATTTTGGGGAGGACCCCACACCATTTTATTAAACGTTTTGGTGTAGGGTTCCCTTAAAATCCATAGCAGACCCGAAGGGCCTGGTATGGATTGAGGCGGGCCCCCACAATGTTTTTTTTTTTTAATTGTTAATGTCGGCACTGGTTTATTTATATTCTGCTGTTAGCAGGGAATTTCGAGGACAGCAGATGAGTCATGGTTTTTAAGGGCCAGCTATTATTGAATGAATTTGAATAATACGTTTAATTTGGATGCTTCTAACATCTGAATGAAACAAATTAATTTTGTTATTTCGTTAATGTTTAATTTGGATTTGTTGAAGTTCGTTACTGTTAGTCCGAATTTCAATTCGGAATGAAATGAACAGCACATATCTATTTTATTCTATTGTATTCTGCTGTATACATGAACCCTATGGGAGGACAGGGAACTATGGTATTCTTGGATATTTTGCCACAGGTAAAAAAACGCATCAAAAATGCACTTCATTTAAATGAATGGAAAATGTGGCAAAAGGGCATAAAAAACGCAAGCACCTGTGGAAAGTGCTTTGTCCAGTCCCATGTCCAGGGGAAAACGCAACGCAAACTCAGCAAAAACGCATAAAAAATGCAAAACACCGCTGCAGAAATAGTGGCGAAAATGAATATGCGTTTTTGCAGTTTTTTGCAACAGAGCAGTCTGAAAGCAGCCTAAGTAGGAATCATCAATTTATTTCACTTGTATACCTTACTGTATTTATTGCAATATGTTTCCATTTAAAACTCATTTTTGATTTCGGATAATTAGTAATTTTATTACCTTATTTTGTTTTGTTATAATTTATTTCGGATTCATTGAAATTTGTTACTGTTGAGATTGGGAAATTCGGATACATCCGAATTTTGGAATAACGAAAATCTCATCTGAATTCCGATTCGCAATGACACGAACCACACATGTCTATTGCTGAGCATGTCCACCAATCTGTTAATAGATTAATTAATATTGGAACTAAAGTTGGTCATGCAGTAGATGGATTGAAATTCTGCCAGTTTAGCAGGGACTAGTCAAATTTTGATCCATATGTGGCCATTCCCATTCGTGAGAAGTTGATCTAATGAATGACTTCTCATGAATGGGCTTGTTGGAAAATTTTTGTCTGATCCGCACTGCAACTGATTGGTTGATCAATGTATTCTGACAGTGGAGGGTCCCTGTTGTCAGAATACAATAACGCTATGGGGAGGATCCCTCCATCCACCTCACTTCTGTGGCTGGAAAAATCCATATATTTTATTCTGATCAGCCTGCTGGCTTGCTGAAAAAAACTGACCCATGTATTGTATGCTTTATAGAGCAAGGAAGAGTATTTCCTGTATACTCGCTCCCCCAAAGGAGCTTGGACGGTCAGTTAATGATGATCTAAGCAGCCACTATTTTGGTCAAATAAAGCAACAAAGTTAACTTAGGAAAACCTTAGCAAAATCATAGATTTTATTTTTAAAGGTATATAATTAAAGTTTCTGATTTAAAAATATTGCTAAGCTCATCACAATATTGTTTTTTGAAAAAAAAGGCACCATTGTCCTTTAATACCATGAAGGTAAAGGGGAATATACTCAGACAAAAAAAGTTAACAAAAAAAAACAAAGAAAAAGAAAAACATGTATAACTAAAAAAAAAAAAGGCAGACTCGATTGACCATTTGGTCTTTTTTCTGCTGTCACCTTTCCATGTTTCTATGGGAGTTATTTACTAAAACTGCAAGGTGCAAAATCTGGTGCAGCTCTGCATAGAAACCAATCAGCTTCCAGGTTTTATTGTCAAAGCTTAATTGAACAAGCTGAAGTTAGACGCTGATTGACTACCATGCACAGCTGCACCAGATTCTGGGTGCTCCAATTTTTAGTAAATATTATTATTATTATTATTATTATATGGGATTTATATAGCTCCAACAGTTTGCTCAGCACTTTACAATATAAAGGGAGACAATACAGCAACAATACAGTTCAATAAAAGAGGGCTAGGAGGGCCCTGCTCCTTGGAGCTTACAATCTAAGAGGGAGGGGCTGGTGGTACAAAAGGTAATAACTGGGGGATGAACTGATAGGATAGAAGATTCCATTATTAGCTGAAAGTGGGATAGGTTTCCCTGAAGAGACAGGTTTTCAGAGATCACCTAAAAGTGGGCAGAGTAGTTGGATAGATTGGGATAGAGAGTTCCAAAGGATGGGGGAGGCTCTGGAGAAGTCCTGGAGATAAGCATGGGAGGAGGAGACAAGGGAGCTAGAGAGCAGGAGGTCATGGAAGGAGTGGAGAGGACAGTTTGGGTGATATTTGGAGGCAAGATTTGTGATGTAATTTGGGGCAGAGTTATAAATGGCTTTGTATGTTATAGTTAATGTTTTGAATTTTATTCATTGGGCAATGGGAAGCCAGTGGAGGGATTGGCAGAGAGGGATGGCAGATATGGAACGGTTAGTAAGGTGGATGAGTCTAGCAGCAGTATTTATGATAGACTGAAGAGGGGATAGCCTGTGATGAGGTCGGCCAATGAGGAGGGAGTTGCAATAGTCAAGGAGAGAGATAACCAGGGAGTGAATAAGTTGCTAAATGGTTTCAGAGGTTAAGAACAGGCGTATCTTGGAGATGTTAAAGCAACATCAGGACTGATCTTAGTAGTAATGTGCTGCAAACATAGTGACAATAGTCTAATATATTTGCAGCACCGACACATTGGTTACACCACCATACAGGAGGTGTATCAAAAAAATGTACCATATAGGTATAGCATACATTGCAATAATGGTTGTTAACAAGCACCAATAATTATTTTTGTAATTGGGATATAATTGGGATATGATTGCCCATAAACCTAAATAGGTAATGTGGGTAAAAAAATGAAAATATATAGGGATGCGGATAGCCTCTGTAATAACCAGATATTATTATGGCAAAAATAGGTGGTGAAATATTAAGCCACAGTAAACATGTCCATATTGCTTGAGTATAGAGTCAGCGATGCAAAAAAAATCACCATTAGATTCCTCAGTATTGTAGAAAATGGCAGGGCCCTGCCTTAAGGGGTTTCTTCACTGCGGCATGCGGGCTATTAACCACCTTAATTAATGTAGTGATGCAAAGGTGCTGGATCATCCGTGCCTTGTACTAAATGTAGGGTGCCATGCACCTTTATGTAGTGAAACATGCTGTCCCCATCCTGTAACAAATACGTGACATATGGACAGTCAGTAAATATGTTCCTTGTAGTATATATGTAAATGGCGGACATGCGCCTTATTTCGTTTATCTGTGCAGCAGTTCACTTACCACCCAAGCCATAGTGATACTCTGCAGAGTTTTCCTTCGTCTGGGAAAACCAGGCGCAGTCCCAGAGGCAGCCACCACCATCGGGACTGTTATCAGTGGGCTCTGCTCCCTGCCTTGGGTGCTTGTGCAGCCTTGCACTGCTCGTGGCCGGCGTGTATGGCTGACATCCCTGATGGTCAGCATGTATGGCCACTAATGCGTACGTCCGGAAGTGACGTAGCTGACGTATGACGTTAATGCGTTTGGCCGATGGGCGTATCTCACTCGGCTTCATCAGGACCAATGAGATGCCTGCCTTTCACACACTTTTATAATGGCCTTGTAAACCCCCATATATGTAAATCAATTTAGTCGGCATATTACTCAATGGGAGAAAAAGCTAAGTTAACTTAGCAAAAAGCTGGGTCATATAATGCAATTAAAAGAACAAATACCTGGGCACACAGCGGGAAGGATTACTCTTTCATTAGATAAACCATCACCTAAGCAGGGGTGGGCAAACTGTGGCTCTGCAGCTGTTGTGGAACTACATTTCCCATGAGGCATTGCAACATTACAAAACTGACAGTTACAGCTATGACTTGCAGAGGCATAATGGAACTTGTAGTCCTGCAACAGCTGGAAGAGCCACAGTTTGCCCACCCCTGACCTAGAGGGATTTTATAATAGCCTTCCTTTACCTGCCACAAGTTCACTCACCACCCAAAAAGCCAGACGAAGGAAACTCTG